CTTGGCTCTCCTCCCCTTTCCTTCAGCGTATCCGAGTGATTAGCTTTCTGAAGTGTTTGAGTCCAGGGAAAAAAAGCTTTGGCTGACAACAGGAGCCTTTGCGGCTCAGAGCAGGGCTGGGGAGTGCCCCGCTCACGTGGTCTGGCTCTGCCAAGGCGACCGCCGGCAGGCAGGATGCGGAATCCAATCTATAGTGGGCTCATTTTGAAGCTGACAAGTTTTATGTGGCTCGCGGATGGCATTACAAATATCCAAATGGCCCTTGGCAGGAAAAACGTTCCCCACCCTGGTTTAGGGAACTGAATGGGTGCCATTTCTGAGAGCATGTGGTGGGGGGGGGGCATGATGACAGGTCATGATCTCCTCCGCGATCTCCTGGACCCCCTCCCCAGTCCTCCCCCAAAGAAACCACTGGTCCACCTTGTGACACCACAGACTAGTTTTGTTTGCCCTTGAACTTTACATAAATGAAATTAAGAATGCACATTCTTCTGTGTTTGACTTCTTCCACTTGGTATTGTTACATAGTTGATATTTGTTGTATTTTTTAACATCAGCATTTATTTTATTTTTCTCATTTCTTCATTTTTGAATGTTTATTTGAAAGGTAACACAACAGAATGACAGAGAGAGAGAGACAGAGAGAGAGAGAGAGAATCTTTAATCCACTGGTTCACTCCCAAAGTGCCTGCAACAGCTAGGGCTAGCTGAGGCTGAAGCCAGGAATTGGAACTCCATCTGGGTCTCCCATGTGGGTGGCAGGAACTGAAGTGCTTGAATCATCATCTGCTACTTCCCAGTTTTAGCAGGAAGTTGAGTTGGAAGCAGAGCAGCAGGTATTCAAACTGGCACTGAGATACTGGATACGGGCTTCCCAAGTGGCAACTTAACCCGCTGGGCCACTATGCTCATCCAGAAATCCCTCTATCTATCTATGAGTTTATCTATCCATCCATCTATCTATCTCTCTGTCCATCTATCCAATGTGTATGTGTATGCATGTGTATGCATTAATTAAAATGCTTAGACTATTTTTGATTTATAATATTAAGAAAAAAAAGAATGCTAAACATGAGTGATACAGCTTCAATAACCTGCACAATATATATTTAAAAGCTGTATAGATTCTATAGGATACACAATAAATTTGGATACTTGTAATTTGGCCCAATATTTGGCCCAGTTTTTCTGATGTGAATTGAGTATCTTTCTTTGTCTAGAAATTTAGCTCTGACTTCAGTTTAACTATGATGTCAAAAATAGTTTTTCATATTATTAAAAATTATTTCTTTATTTACTATATGTGTTTTGACTGGTTAGAAAATGTAGCCTACCCTCACACGGGAGAGGAGTAATTTCTTTACCTTGTTGTTTGTTACTAAAGAACAAGAAATTCAATCTCATACTTTAATTCCAAGTTGACCTTGGAAGGAGAAGATGGAGTGTGTGTGTGTGTGTGTGTGTGTGTATGTGGGTATATCTCCTCCTAGTTTCCCTGGTATCTTTCATGCTGGCATACTTAAATAAAATGGTTTATCTGCTTAAAGTAAAAAGAATTAAATGCAATTTTAATAAGTGATGTGGTCTATTTCATGGCTTGTGCCAAATTATTTTTAATTAATGCTCTATTCCTCCAGTTTTACTGTTTTAAATAGAGCTCTGTAGGAACATCAATGTGCAGAAACATCTTCATCTTGAATGGATTACTAGAAATTGCAACTAGAATAGGTAGGACATATCTTAAAAATGATTACATGCAATAAACCATCAGAAAATTTGGCATGGGAGAAAATTAAGAAGACAACAAAAATCATGTTAAATAGGATCAACCACAGAAAGTCATTACTACTGTATTTATGCTTACATATTTGTAAAAGCTAGTCCATGAATGTACAAATTTTTTGTCTTACTTCTCCCTATATTTGTTGTATTTGATTGTGATACTATATTCTATCTTCCGACCACACCCCATCACCATTTATCCATTCTACTGTTGATGGCTATTCGGATTGGCTTTAGTTTTATGCTGTTACAAATAACACTGTTGTGAATAAGTTTCTACCAGTTTTGATGACGTGTGCCTTCTCTCTCTCCTTCTCCCTCTCCTGCTCTCTCTTTCCACCCCCCTCTCTCTCAGTGTCTCAGTAGGACACTGAGACCTATATAGCAAGGGTACTCGAAACTGTAGTTAATTGGGCTAACTGAACATTTCTGACTGAGCAGGTGTGCCTCATCCAAACACCTCTCACCAGTTCCCCTAAAACTTTAAACCTCAAGTTTAAATAAGACAGTAATTCAAAGAGTTATATTCCTTCTTGCAACTTTTTTTAAAAATCTATTTATTTGAGAGAAATCTGCATTCTGCTATTTCCCAAATGCTTCCAACGGCCACTGTTTGGGGCCAAAGCCAGAAGCCAGGAACTCGAGTCACATAGAGGGGCAGAGACCTCACTTGGGCCATTACCACTGCCTCCCAAGGTGTGCATTTGCTGGAAGCTGGACTCTAACCCAGCACTCCGACAGGGGACGTAAGCCTCTTGACCTCTAGGTCAAACGTCTGCCCAGTGCCCTGCTTATTTTGACTTTGTATAATGAATTTCAGGTTTATTCAAGTTGTCAAAAATGATGGGATTTCCTTTTATTTTTTAAGGCTGAATAATATTCCTCTGTGTGTGTGTGTGTGTGTGCATGTATCTGTGCATATACACACAACCACATTTTCTTTATCCATTCATCTGTTGAGAGAGACACTTGTCTTGGCTATGGTGAACAATGCTGCAGTGAACACTGGGGTGAAAATCTCTCTCCCAGACGCTGGCTCCATTTCTTTTGGACATATACTTCATGTGAGACTGCTGGATCATATAGCAATTCTGTGTGTAACTTTTGGGGGAGCTTTCATAGTTACCCATAATGGCTGTGAAACTTTAATATTCCCACTAATGGCATACAAGGGTTCTCTTTCCTCTACATTCTCCCCAACGCTTGTTATCTTGCGTTTTTTTTTTTTTTCGGTCATAGCCATTCTAATACTTGTGAGATGACTGTTCCATTGTGAGTTTAATTTGTTTTCCCCTGAGCATCAGTGATGTTGAGCATTTTTCATATACTTGTTGGCTAATCGTATGTCTGGAAGGCTACTTCAGCAGGCTCATCTGGTCAAAGGACACATTTTCACAGAGAATTGTATGCGATATTATCTCTAGCAAAGGCGCCTGCATTTCTATAGAAACACTCCTGGCAGGTAATAAAAATTTCCATAAAGAAGTGTGATTGCTCTGCCTCTACCTTTTTTTTTTTTTTATGTTGATTTGAGTGGTAAAAATAAACATATGGGGCCTTTTATCCTAAAATCTTTTTCAGAAATTAAAGTGAGAAAAATTGTCATTATTCTTGAAAAAGCAAGTTGAATAAAGTCAATACTTTCTTCCTTCCTTACTTCACCCCTTTTTGCTCATCTTTCTCTTTGCTTTCCAATTCATCTCTTTAAGAAAAAGTTCGGGGTAGGCACTGTGGTCCAGTGAGGTCAGTAACCGCTTGGGGCACCTGCATCCCTTATCAGAGTGCCAATTCAAGTCCTGGGTGCTCTGCTTCAGATCCAGTTCCCTGCTCACGTGTCTGGGAAGCAGCCCAAATGCCTGAGTTCTTTCCCCACATGGCTGATGTGGACGGAGCTCCTGGCTCCTGGCTTCAGCCCAGCCCTGGCTATTATGGCCATTTGCGGGGTGAACCAGCAAGTAGAAGATCTTTCTGTCTCTTTCTCTTTTTAAAAAAAAAACAAAAGTTAGTGCATTAAAATACCAGCATGAAATACAAGTTATACAAAGCATTAACAATAATTTAATTTAATTTAAAACTTAGGCTTAGAGTGTGGATTTACCCTTCACAGAAGAAATAAGCAGAGTGAAAAAGTAACCCATGCTATCAAACAAAGTTTAGTACAAATCCTTGACAAATACTTAAGTTAATTTTCTTTAAATCATTGGAGGGGGGAAATATTCTGAATAAATAACAGTTGTACAGAGCACAAATGGGAAAGGCTTTTTCAATTTATACTTTTAAGGGCGTGGAGTGGCCACTGTGGCACAGCAGGTTAAGTTACTGCTTGACGTACTGGCATCCTGGCACCCCATATCAGAGTAACATTTCAATCCTAGCTATTCTGCTTCTGATCCGGCTCCCTGGTAATGTGCCTAGGAAAGCAGCGGAAGTTGGTCCAAGTACTTGGGCCCCTGCCACCATGTGGGAGACTCAGCTGGAGTTACTGGTTCCTAGTTCTGGCCTGGCCCAGACCTGGCTGTTGGGACCATTTGGGGAGTTGACCTAGTGGTGGAAGAACACTTCTTCTCTGTCTGCCTCTCCTTCTCTCTAGGTCTTTCTGCCTTTCAAATAAATAATAAATCTTCAAAAATAAACATATATTAAAACACTGCCTAACAGAGGAGGTCATGGCAGAGATTAAAAATAAATGCTTTTTGTGGCCCTTAATGTTCATGAATTCACTTGCTTTTAATTTTTTAGTGAAAGGATTCTGCTGGGGTTTTCTGGCCCAGTAGTACAAAAATATACATTTATTTCTAGTTAAAAATTGAACATTCTAATATTTGAAAAAAATATTCTCTGTGGACATATACTAACCAAGGCTTAATAATAATAAATAAAAAAGTTACTGCTAAGGTACACTTAGAATTCTCTTTACTTGAGACATTTACTGGAAAATGCCAGTAAGAACCGAAGAGCCAAACCGGCTCTGACTGTGTGAATGTGCTGGGGTGAGGATAGGGTTTCTCACACTTGGACCTTTTGATGAAACGCCTTTCCAAACCAGTGTGTCATCTTAGCCTACGATTTCACACATCAGCTGCCGGGGTACCTACCCTGAGAGCCCAGTTTCACATTGCACTAATGAGTCAACACCTGTTAAGAGTGGAGAAATCCGAACCTTACTAGTGACCGTGAAGCCTCCTGGGAGCATGGATGCTGGGCATTGTCATACTCACCGCCAGCGTGTCTGCACTCAGGACCCTGGCGGCCGCCGTGATGAAGTCCCCCACCAGCATGGAGAAGCCAGGCAAGCCCAGGGAGAAAAAGCGGGGTGGGCAGTGCCTTATGATGGTATTTAAGATGTCCTGAAAGGGAAGAACAGAAAACACAATTGCAGTTTCAAGAACAAAATTCCAAAGCAGTCGGAGTGTGTGTGCGTGCGTGTGTGTGTGTCCATGTGAACACTGCATCATGACTGAAGACAACACAGATGACACAAATTGTCCAGGGACAGGGGTGCTGGCAGGTGACTTACTCGAAGGTTATCGATCCCGTGTTACAGGGAAGAGAATGGAGACGCCAAACTGTAAGATCACCTGTCCCACACCTAAAACATGGCATCAGGGGCGAGACATTTCTTCTGTCTTCTACCTACATGTGAGCTGCTTAGACAGGCTACAGGAATACTAAGGCAGACAGATAAATAAAACCCTCAGACGCCTATCACTACAATAGAGAGTAAGTTCTGTCCCCAGCTTCCGATTTTCAAAAGCTAAAACTGCTTATGTTAAAAACAAAACAAATCATAAGGGAGACAACGTGATGGCAATGTCCACTCTTCAGGTGACTTGGGTGCTAAGAAACAGGGCTGCAGGAAGTGCCAAGGGGTGCCGGGCTGAGCCCGCGGAGTCGGCGTGGCTCCGATCGCAGGTGCAGCGGAAAGGTGCAAGGGCAAAGTGCAGCGGCTGCCTCGGCACTATGTGCAGTGCGCGGGGGGCAATTCCTGCCCCAGACCCCTCGTGTCCCTGTGTCCGTAGTGGCCGTTGCCCAGTCCTGCCAGTGGCAGATCAAGGGTCCACCTCTGGACCCCAATCGCACCATCACCAGCCAGGTGATGTCTCTGAGGCCATCTGTTCCTGTGTGTGTGTGTGTGAGTGTGTGTGCACACACACATGCACACACAGGGGAATTGGAAAGGAAACCACAAGGTTCTTCTCTGTGGCCTATTATTCAGACACACCACAGTGCTATACTTACGTGACTTGTAAACAACCTGTGGTTACTCTCAACCTAGGAGTAAGAAGTACAACACAAAAGACTCTAGTTTCTTAAGATTTTAGTGTGGCTACTTGAAAAAATCTTGTAAAATAATCCTGATGTAATTCAGTTCAATTAGAGTACAGCAGGAACAGCGTGCTGAATTCTAACACGTTGACTTGCGTCCTTCCTACTTAATCCCGTTTCACAACGTTATCTTCTTAAAAGACAATCTGTGAGTGTGCACGGAACATATTTTTTTCCAGAAAACAGACTTTCTTCCTTACATGGCGGACTCATTCAATTTCTACAAATCATGCTATTTACATCCTTAAAGTGGCTATGCCTGCACAACGCTTCATCTACTGGCGTTCACGCATGGTAAAGAGTTTAAGCGAGTACTGATTTAAAGTTTCAGCATTTCAGCAGACTTTTCCCTGTACCAAAAATAAACAGACAGACAGATAGGTCAATAAAAGAAAGGAAGGAAGAAAGGAAAGACAGACCTAAAGCACGCTTCTGCCCAGTTAATGTTTAACCCTGGTTTAATCACATCCTGTGATCCACTTTAGGGTCCCTATCAGCCAAGGCAAACAGTCTCAGGAGCGGAGCAGATGGATGCTGCAGTTAGAAAAGTGTGCGGTAAGCTCCTGCTCCAGGAGGGGAACAAAAGATCCACCTTTTTCATAATTAAGCCTCTGATTAATGCCCTGGGCTCCTCACCACACACCTGTAATTACTCACAGAGGTACGCATTGTGCTGGCCCTTGTCTCGGAATATCAGGCATCAAGCTACCCAGCAGCAGATGGAAGCAGGGTTCTGTTGACATATGCTGCAATGAAAGGATTCGTGCAAACCTGGCTAGCAAGGTAGCAGAATGCCATGCATTTGAAGATTAATAATGCAAACAACCGTGATGTTAACTTTGCTATGTTTGTGCTGATTCCATCTGTTGAGATGAGGAACTAAACCTTGAAGCCTGTGGGTCTGAAAACTTCCCAGCACGTACATCATTAAATGAGCCATTTCCACCAGTGGAATTTAGAGTTTTCATTTTAAAAATGCTTACGTCTATGGCCATCAGGAACTAAATCCCTTAATGGGCCAGAGCCAGAAATCGTCAGTGGGATCCGTTTTTGTCACACATGCTTCACACACGTAAAGGTGCTGATCTGTAAAATGGGGCGTGCTGTTGATGTTGACGCTGGAGACCCTGGATTCGCGCGGAGCCGAGACCAAGCCACACGGCTCTCCCACCCCCTGGACGACAGCCAGGCACTTCAACAGAACCTGTCTCTCCGGGCAGGAAGGTCGGAAAGAGAAGGCAAAATAACAGATGGCTACCCTGCCCTAGCCTGCCACCCAAGTGAGACAGCGCCCCGAGGAGAAGCAGAGCCCGGGCCGCCAGGGCCCAGGACGGCGCTGGGGTAGGGTTAACGCGGGGGTTAAAGAGGGAAACTGTATGAGGAGCCAGCCAAATTATGGCCATATGCCTGCTTATTTTGCTTAGCCACATTAAGACGGAACACTTCAAAGCAGAACAACCACAAGGTGCTTAGAGAGAGCAGCTGCATACTCCAACGGGGGGACACCCACAAAGCGCTCCCTCCTCTCACTCCTGGTAGCATCCCTCTTACACCTTCCCCTTCACACATCAAGGTCACGGCTACAACTGGAATGTTTGGAAATATAAAACAAAATCTTGAGACCCTGACCCCTTCACAGCCTCCAGGGCTCTATGCATACATGAAACAGGATGCCCCCACACCCCATTCAAGTGTAACTCTCGTGCCAGTTGCAGGATCCACATCCAAAATGAAAGGTGGATGGCCGAACAGATTTTCAAAGTGAATCCTGTGTTGTTTTTAACTGAAATCAAATTATTCTGGGAAACTTGTACCTTTTGCCATAAACAGAAAACATTCTTGAGATCAAGACAATGACAGTGAAACCGTGCTAAGCATTTGCTAAAAATACCCCTATCTGACAGAGGCCAGGATTCAAGACTGGCTCTGATTGCTACCTGGGCAATTTGTGATGTCAGGGTGGTGTGTGGGAAGTTCTTCTATCTGCTCCAGCTGGCCCACCTGGGAGTGTCCCAAGGACTGGCAGAGACTGGGAAAGGGAGCATCACTTCCACGGAGTGACTCAAATACTTTTCAGGGCTGCCTCCTCTGGAGCCATTAGTGGGAAACACCTGTACTCCAGCTCTGCTGGGGAGAAGACCTGTACATGTGTGTGCATGTGCGTGTGTGTGTGTGTGTGTATGGACAGCCCCACAGCATACTCCTGTGTGTGTGTGTGTGTGCAGCCCCACGGCATGCAGCCCACGGCATGGGGCTTGAACACACAGCCTGGTGTGTGTGTGTGTGTGTGTGTGTGTGTGTGTTGTCTGTGGGCAGCCCCACAGCATGCTCCTGCTTGTATGTGTGTGTGTGTGTACAGCTCCACAGCATGCTCCTGCTTTAGATCTCTCCTCCACAGAATGGGAGAAGCCGCCCTAGAGAGGTGGATCTGAGGGGCTGGGAGATGTGAACAGCCCTCTGTACAACTGAAAAGCACCACAGACAAGTAAACCGGATTGCAAGAAAAAAAAATTTAAAAAAAAGGACTCTGAAGGGTTTTACTCTGTAGAATTTACACTGCAGGTTTAATTTGCATAATTAAGTGAACTATTATTTTGCTGATCCACAGAAAGTGTATTTTAAAACATTTCAGCTGGGGCCCAAACAGGCCCCCTCGGATCACACGTTATCCAAGACATTAAAAAGCTCTAGCAGTACGTGCTGTCAACATCCTTAACAATTAGCCACACTGGATGTGACTTTAAGGCAAACAATAAAAATGGGAAAATTCATACTTTTGATTTTCTAGGATTCATTCTTCCACAGAGAGTTCTAGAACTTACCCCAAACAAACAACTCTGGTAACTAGAATTGGTTTCTTTTCTACTCTACACAGACTGAATAATAAGCTAAACAATAAGCTCAATGATAAATGGAGTCTCAAATAGGAGGTAGTTTGTTCTTTAAGACCGACCAGTATGAAACATAGGCAAAACTCTTTTATGTGGTTTTGTTCAAAGGAAATAAAATTCATCCTGCAAAAATTTTTTTTAAAAAGATTTATTTATTTATTTGAAAGGCAGAGTTACAGAGAGGCAGAAGCAGAGAGAGAAAGTGAGAGAGAGAGAGAGATCTTCCATCCACTGGTTCACTCCCCAAATGGCAGCAACAGCCAGAGCTCGGCCAATCTGGAGCCAGGAGCTAGGAGCTTCTTCTGGGTCTCCCACTTGGGTGCAGGAGCCCAAGGACTTGGACCATCTTCTACTGCTTTCCCAGGCCACAGCAGAGAGCTGGATTGGAGTGGAGCAGCTGGGACTCAAACCGGCGCCCATATGGAATGCCTGCACCACAGCTATACCACAGCACTGGCCCACAAAGTGTTTTAATACAGTGAACAGGCCACCAAACTAGTTGTGTCTGTTTTGTTTTGTTTTGGTTAAAAGTTCACATAGGTACTACACAGCGAGTGAAAAGCTCAAAGATGGTAATTGTGAACCTGTCGCTTATCAAAAGGTTCAGGTTTATGAGAAAGTAACTGGTGAGAACATCTGTTTCATCACTGATCTTGCAAAAAATCAGGTAATTCAAACAGAGGCGTGTTGCTTCCTCTCCTCCACAGCACGGTTCTATAAACACAAACTGCATTCAGCCTGGTAAATGAATTGCTCTAATTGAAAGCTATGTACACAGTAACTGGAAAAACCATAAGTGATAAGAAAAACATATGGTGATGGCAATAGAAATCGGTTTATTCATTTTGCATAGTGTTGTTGCTTTAGTTCTCTTATAATTGACCTTTAGAACGATAAATGTGTAAAATAATTTTGTTTATTATGGCTCCAAACCTTCCAACAATTACACAAAATGAAAATTTTAAAGGAAGGATTCATTCTGGAAGCATTTCCATTGTTTACATAATTGCACAGCTATAATTTAGTGCTCATGTTGTTATGGAAAATAAAAAAGGGGCCATTACGGGCCACTTCAATTTAAAACATTGCACAGTGGTGTCAAAAATGGGGGAGAACGTTCTCTTTAAAGC